GGGGGGGGGGGGGAGGGGGAGGCCACGTAATGCAGCCACAGGGAACGGGTTGCGGCCACCAAGCAGCAGCTGCCGCACCCAATGCCAGGCTCAGGTGAGACGCAAACATCCCCTTGTCCCCCCTCCGATAAACATGCACGCGCACTTTAAAGCACCCATGCGGACAGACACGCCGCAGCGGCGACCACCGCCAACAGGGTGCGCCCGCCATATTCGACGGCCCACGGGCCACAAGATGCGCAACACCACGCGTGCCCACCCGCGGCGCCCGCGCGCTCCATGCAGAGGTAGAGGCGGCGCGTGGCGATGGTGAGGGCGCCGCTGCTCATCAGCCTCTGGCCCGCGCCGGGCAGCCGGCCCACGTCGGCGCGCCAAATCAGGAAGCGCCTGGTTGGTGATTCGGGAGCCATCATTCAAGGTGTATGCGGGTTTGGGGGATGGAGCGTGTGAAGCGTGGGACAATTCGTGTATAGCGCTCTGGAGGAGCACATGGGCGCACAGCGGAGCAGCGGTGGCAGTTTCATCCCACCGCGGTCGCGACACGCATCAGCTGCGTCTGTGAGGGTGGGAGTCACAGGGCGCAGCGGGCGGCAGAGTTGTGGGGCTGGCGGGTGAGTCGGCGACCATGACCCCACCTCTGGTGGTGGCCGCTGATTTGTGCAGCCACCGCCTGCAGCACCCTGTCCTTGAGCAGCGGCGTGAGGGCCCAGTGGCGCGGCATCTGCAGGCACCAGTCCACCAGGGCTGACACCTCCTCCTGCTGCAAGGCGCCCCACTCCACCTGAGAGTGTGCCGTTTTGGGGTGGCGAGGGGGACTGAAGACATGCGGGGTGGCTTTCTGGACTAGCACGGCAGCCTCATTGGACAGCAGCCAACCGCCGCGGCCCTGCGCCGCCCAGGTCCTCAACAGCGCCGCCACCAGCCACCCGAGTCACCCACGTGGCATCACATCTCATCGCATGGCAAAGGGACGTGTCAGGGCATCCGTCTGCGGTGACGCGGCCTTTCCTCTGCCTTGTCTTTCCATCTTGCATGACGTCCATAAACACACACACACACACACACACACACACGAACGTGCGCGTGCCTTCATCCGCAGACCCTGCGCTCGTGGGCGCTTTGTCCCTCCCCCCGCCCTGAAACACAGGTCAGGCCTGCTCCCTGCGACTACCCCCACCTGGTCCAGCATGGCGGGCACTGTGTCGGGGTCCAGGGCCGCGGCCACCTCCAGCATCACGTGGATCAGAAGGACCTCGGGGCCCTGCCCGTTCCACGCCGCATCATGGCCCTGGAGGCGATCGAATACAGAATGCAAGTTTGAGGGACGAGGGTTGGATCGAGGAAGGCGCGGGGGCAGGGGGTGGCGGCAGGACTGCATGAGCAGCAAGGCGGGTGCCACCCACAGTGTGCGAGGCCGTGCGACTTGCAGGGAGGGAGGCAAGGGTGGCATGCAGGTAGGCAGGCAAGCAAGCTGCCCGCACCGACAGCGCAGAAATAAATCTGGGCGCAAGCTGCACTCTCAGAAGCTGCTGGACCAAATCGTATAACCCCTTTCAACCCCTGCGCATCCAGCCGGCCTCCAACCGCCCGCACCTGCCGCAGGAGGGCCATCTGGGCGGCGCCGTCGCCGGCGTAGGGGGGGCTGCGCAGGATGTGGGAGAGCACCACGCGGCGACCCGCCGCGTCCCGCTGCGCCGCGCACGCAAAGTGGCGCGCCAGGGAGGACGCAAACTCCACCCTGCGGGCGCGCCGGCAGGCAAAGTAGGCAGCCGCGACAAAAACAGCATCAGACCTGCGGCTTCAGCTAGGCCCCGCACTGAAACCAAGTCTTTGGCAAACCCCATCCGGCCAGGCACGGCCTGTGCCGACAGGGAAACTCGCTGCAGCGGTGGCGCTGGCGCCATCCCCCCGGCCTGCGAGTCGCACCTGCTGAGGTCGCAGGCCAGATCATACACCGCGGTGATCCAGGCGGGGTCCGCCTCGGGATCCTCAAAGGCGGTCGATGCCAGGTAGCTCTCGCAGGCCGCCATCAGGGCCGGCATCTGCACGGCAGTGCGAGGCGGTGGTGACGGCGGGGCTGTCTGAGCGCGCGATGCTGGCGGCGGGCGGCTGGCATGGAGGAGCCCCAGGGGTGCAGGGAGGCGCAGCGCCGGCGCAATGGCGTGCGTTGGGGTGGTTTGCAAGAAAATGTGCCCGGGAAGGTATGCGTGTTGCGGAGAGTGCAGCGACTGAGCGACGGTGTAGGCAGGTGCAGACGCAGGGCACCGTGCCACATTGGCTTCACACACCTTCCGAGGTGACTACACCCGTGCTGCCGCGATTTCAACCCCCGCGGCA